TCCAATTATATGCGCGTTACATGAATGCACTGCTCTTGAAATAAGTTGGATGGGAAAGTCAAATCCAGATTCGAGCCTAATCAAACCTCCTCTTTATCGGTAGTACTTCTCGTTCCATCCCCCTCTGTCTCTAATCGTATCCAGCAGCCACTTTACTTCTTAGACTCACTTCTTCTATTCAGACTGTTAGCTGTTTTGCTGATTTCTAGCACCTCCTAAATCTCCCGCTTACACATATTTTCCCCATATCAAGCTAAGAGTTTGGCATTGGACCAATGTATCCGGTGCCCTGTGTGAAACGTGTTCGGCCAATTGCGATTTTTGGACCCGCATACCTTTGCAAGCTGTTTTGTATTCAAATAGCTTCTTGTGTATGTGCCTACAGGTCTCTCCCACATATACCCTATTGCATGAACTCAAAATCTTGTAACAGCCCGATCTGGAGAGCGAGTCATAGTATTCTTGAAAAACAGGCATTACCGAGGAAAGTGTTATTTCCACTTTATAACTGCCCTGATGTCCCACCTTGTCAGTAATTGGACTATCTTCTTTGACAGATTAACCGATGGCAGCATAAGGGTTCTGGTAGAGTGGTCTAACTTTTATTCAAGCCCCAACTATGTATTTCCCTTCATCCTATTTGACAATACTCTAAAATAATTTTCAATCAGTCCTCGTGTGTATTTATCCTCAACCATAATTCATCTTAGTCTTATCAGTTCCCGGTCCCGATTGCTAAGAGCTGCCAGACTCAGGCTCCTTATTTAAATGGTTTTAATAACTCCTACTCCAACATCAATAATTCTGGTCGAAATATTTATAAACTAACTTGATTAAGGTTAATTTTAATATGTAGACCGATAGCCCAATGAAGTCCAGTGCGTCTTCAAATCCAAATTAACAAATTAAATCTGCAAGATTTATCTGAGAATATCTTAATGCTATAAGCAATTGAAATCAGTCATACATAAGTTCTTTAAATCTAAAAGCACTTATCAAACACCATAGATAGATGTATTTACATCTAAGTAAGATAAATTTTTAGAAATAAGTCTATATTTTTACTAGTGGGGTCCAAAAAGTAATAGTAAATTTATATGCTTATTCAACCCATTTTTATTCTAAATTTATCTGGCATCCATGAGGAAATGCTTGTGGAGGTCCTGAGATCAGTGTGAGTATTTTAGTTCGTTAATGGCCAAATAGTTGCATTATGATACTTTCATCCTAGAAATCACTTCGGAAAAGAGACTACTGATAAAACTTATATTCGTAAGAAGTATATTTTAGCAATATCAGAAGAATTTTACTAAGAACCTAGCAATCCTAGGTTGTTTAAATGAATATGATTGAACATTCCAGTAAAGTACACTTTCCTCCAAAAGGTTTTTTATTTATTTAAAGAATACTATAGTCTCCACTTCGCTAATAAACACCTCCAACGGGATTTGAAACTGGATCTAGAACTTAAGATGGCTACTCTTTATTGTTGTATACTACAGAGCCATAGGTGTGATTAGGTCACCAGGTAGATGCTACCTCTAGAACAAGCTATACCCCTCTCATATCAAATTCCACTAAGAATATTTAACTCACCTAAAACGGCAGAGGGGGACTAAAGTTCTTATTAATAAAGATGTTGTACTATTATTATTATTATGGATGCCGTGATTACAAGTATTAATTGTTAAGCTATCAATATAGTATAACTCCGAGTAAATAGCAAGTGAACTCTAAATTACTTCCGCTCTAGCTAATGGTTAAGATCCTTGATACTCTTGTAGCCTAAGTAAAGATAACAAAAACTAGCATCAGGGGTATATCTCATTACCTTTACTCAATTCAGCTCAATGGGAAATCGTTTTTATTACCTGTCTATTTAGTTTACTATAATTTTAGTTTTAGCTATATAGCCACAAAGACATTTACTATTCAGAGCAGTTGAATCTATATTTATGCAAAATCCCCTCAGAAAGTGGGGAAACTATAATTTTACATTGGCATTTTTATAAACTGAGGCAGGCTTAAAACAGCCTATATGTATCATATCGCCTTTTATAATGATCTGATAAAGTCACGTAGGTAAATAGGGGTAGACCAATGTATATTAACTTTTATAGCAAATATAAAAAGTTACACACATTTATTAGCAGCCTACAGATCTTTATACATTTAAAAATACTTGAAGGTATGAAGACCAAGATGGTGTGGCTTTCCTCTGAATACATACTTCTTACAAAAAACCAATTTGTTTAGCCTATTAATAAGGTCACTGCACTTTGTAAATCCCAGATAACATTTATAATGTTCCATAAAGTTCGATTATGCAAGATTACTTGGAAGAGCAAGCAATTTAATTTTAAAAGGATCAGATAATTTATTAAATTCTTCGTAATTAGTGTAACTGTTCTTTTTTGTAGCATGAACCATGAACAAGACCTAAAGGAGGCACAAGGACAGATCGCAGAATTTGCAAGCCAGCGTGATCAAGCTTTGCAGGATGCAGGTGAACTGCGCGTGCAACTAAAACTCACGGAAGAGGTGAGAGACAGTCTAAGACGTGATCTCTCTGAAGTGAACAGAAGATTACGTGAGACGGACGAGGTGCGTGAGACACTTCGCCGCGAGCTGATCGAGGTTCGTAGGACGCTAATCGAAGTTCAACGTGATCGTGACAGCCTTAACGAAGCGAAAGATCATCTCTCTGAAAAATTTAAAGGTCTGGAAACAGAGCGTGTTGAGCTTAACCGAGCGATTTCGGATCACACTCTGAGGATCTCCAGTGAGTTTGCGATGACTTATTAAATTAGTTATTGAACTTACTTCTATTTCTAGTGAAGGTGTTTGGTGAAGAGATTTGAAGGTCAATTCCACCAAAAACGACGGCGGATTCCTCTTAACCAGCTGTTGATTAGCTTTACTGGAACATACATGCTGACACTGTTTCCGAGGTAATCTCCTTCCGGTGAAAAGGTGCTAAGCTTTTGTATGTCATATGACCAAAATCATCAGAGCTGGGTATCATCGTCACAACCAAATTAAAGCTAACGAGTCAAAATAACTCACCGGCAAATCCATAAAAAGCGGTATATATACTCTATATCTGACCTCTTTGATCAGGTTTAGAGTGATTTGATTAGTTACAGTCATATGTCAACCTCGAAGCGTGTGAGTGTGTCTTGCTCTGTATATTATGTGCTTGTTTGTGTTCGCTTATGCACGAAACAAGCAGTGAAGGTTCAAGGTAATTAGGACAGCAATAGTAACGTCTTTTCTCGGCCATTAAGGTTTGATGACCACTATCTTCCATTTTTTACATGCATGTTAAAACCATCACACTGATTGCGCAAGGTC